GTGGGTTTCTGGTGAGGGACTAAAATGGTGGAATAGGCAAAATCAAAACAAAAAATGCAAGCAGCCAATACATACAGTAGATTTAACCTATAATGCTTATTTGCAATCATCAAAATACAAATAAATAGAAGCAAAGAACATTTTTCTGGAATGACAATGAAGGGTAGGTCAATGATGGTATGTAACAGCCCTTCGTCACAAGCAGGATTGCAATGTTAGAACAATTCAGCTGTTTTCAAGTTCACACATTTGAGAGCATCTTGATTCTTAGCAACAATTTTCACGAGATAGAATACCTCACACAGAAAAGTGATTGTACCTCCAAGGCCATTGCATTGACAAAAATATTTCTGTGAAGTCTTCACTTTCATATCTGAGCTGTCAAGTACAAAGAAACTCTCCATATTCTACAATGTAGGTGAAAACATTTTTTCAATAACATCCAAAAAAAAAACAATTTTGATTGCTTTTAAAATTGAATTCAATATGAGTGGTAATTCAAAGAGGCATGGTAATATGAGAGAAGAAAATGGCGGACAGGTGGCCCAGTTTGGTTTACACAAGAATATCAGTGCATCAGTTGTTAATTATTTTATGTGCCGCCTATATTTGGAGGTAATCCTTACTGTGAATGGAGTTAATTTTAAACAAACGAGGTGTCATGTTAAAAGATCGAATGTCCTGTTGGAGAAAATATTTGTATTTTTTTTTAATAAACAGTATGAAAGAATTAACAAACATTGTCCGAAATCATTGATTACTAAAGTAACAATCGGGTACCCTTGGTTAATATTGGCTACTGTTGGTTGTTACTGCAAACCCAAGTGTACTCACATCAAAGTACTACTGTTGTATCATTATATGACATATTTTGTAAGAAGTTTGTTATCCGTGGTGTAATGAAAACACAAATGATGGTCAAGAGATTAAGTTGATGCAAGGAACCCCATTTTCCCATCTTCCACTTTTTGGTACAAGTTGAAGCATAGGGATTTGACTGTATGCAAAGTGAATGGTGAATCATAGGACAATTCTTATTAATTGACAAATATTGCAGTGTCATATTATTTCATTCTTTATTGCTTTCTTTCTGGCCTTCTGATCCAGGTCCTGTCCACACCCCTGTAGTTGCCCCTGATTGTGCGATGATTGATGAGCATCTAGGCACACAGTGCGTGATTCAATCTGTGAAAGCTGCTGCCCACCATTTTGTTAGGATAAGAGCTTGAAGACCTTGAAAAGGGCAGCAGCTGCAGAGCAAACACAGGGATTTTCATGTACAGTATATGCAGGCCAGAAAGCAAGCCTAATTCTGTTTTTGATTTTCTTTTCCGTTGAACAAACCACTTGAGTTTAACAGACATCAGTTCAGTAGTACTGGGATCCAAAAGGAATATTTATTTTTGTTGGCTGGTTTGGTCTTAACTGGAGTAATTAAGTGTAAATGTTAAACATTAAAGCTGCAGAATAACTGCTACAGATTCTAGAACTCTTCCTATAAAGTTTGGAGTTAGCTGGTCAAACATTATTTGAGCATGAGCAGGATGCATGACAGGCTACATTTTCCAAAACAACTTATGACCCATTGTGAATGAAAAATTATTATGGTAACTTTCATCATAAATGGTAATGGCTTATCTACCCCGGTAGCCTAGTTTTAAGTGTCTCCCTTTCTCATACTTGCTTATGAGCTGTTTAGCAAGCAGGAAAAAATAATCAAATAAGTCAATGTTTTCCTTCAGAAGAAATTAGGGTAAAGTACTTCCAAGTACATAACAACTGCAAGTGTTATTTTCTTTACAAGTATTTTCCATGTACGGCTACTAACATCACCAAAATATTTTATAGCATGCCTAGGAATTCTAGTTTGCAAAATAATCTGAGGATATGCATTTTAAATATGACATAACTTAAGAACAAAAGAAAGGATATAAAAGGTTACAAATAAGAGTAAAAATCTAAGAAACATTGCAAATGATAGTAACAATCTAGCTTATTTGGTTTTTAGTAGGTAATTGATCTGAAGATTTCATCCAGATGTTTTGGATGAAACTGATCCTTTAAGGGTTGATAAGGGTAAAACCTTCTGGAATGTGTCTCTCCAGTAAAACAGTTGTTTACCTTTGCTCTAATATGAACAATCTATTTTTTTCAATTAATTTTGTAAGATGTGACCTGGTGCCTTTGGAAACTATTAAAGCAAGACAGAAGCTTTCAGTTTTACTTCATCTATTATTCAGTATGGAACATGTAGAATTGATGCACTACAGCAGTTATGGTCTTACATAATTTAATTCATGTTTGGTTAAGTGACATAGCAATGTAATCCCACTAAATTCTAAGATTCTCAAAAGATGTGCGTTAGTGGATTTTGGCACTAAGTATAAATTGCTCTAGCAATTCAGTTTAAAATCATACCTTCACCAACTTCCTTCTAAACCATAATAGTTATTTGACAAATTATATAGGACCATAAGTGCAGTTTTTTGTAAAATTCTCAATTTTAACATTCTTTATACAGCACCACAAAATGTATAATAATATATATTATATAATATAATATATATATAATATTATAAAATAGTTTTATTCACTGCATATTTTATTATATATTAATTTTCCTAAATGATGGACACACATTTATGAGCTATGTATGTCCATGTAACTGAGACCAAACCCCAAATGGAACATTAATTATTATTGTAGATTGTTTTCAAAGGGACTCACACAAGACTCAAAACATCAAATCAGACATTACAACTTTCCTAATAACAAATTACTCCTTTCAGAGTAACTCTTCCTGTTGGATAAGTGGTGCAGTTTTTTTCTGAACGAATTTTCAACTCCTTTATTCTTACTGAAGCCATTTTTAAAGTGGTTTAAGATAAAACAAGACACCCCTTTGATTTGTGTCTTAATTCCTAGGTACCTTGACTGAAAATAAATCTTTCCATAAGATCTGCCCAATGAAAGGTTATTAGCTGTGCAGCTGCCTGAAAGCAATCTGTAACACACTCAAAGAAGTGAGAAGCCACCCACTTGTAACAGAGAATATTCTATGACCTGCTAAGAAGGGGAGTGCTTTCAGTACATGCTCTGAGGATTCAGTACTTGCTGGAAGTGCCTGCTGTCAGGATTTCCAATGTCCAACTAAGATAACTTAAACTCATTAATTTAATCAATAGATTACATTCACCGGCACATATCAGACTAAAATATATTGCTTATCTGTGCTATTTAAGATGTAATTCTTGGACTAGAGTAAAACTGTCTTTTTCTCTACTCTATTATTTTTTTGCATAAGTGATGTTATGTAAAATATGCCACAGTGCATCCGTTTATAATGCATGGCCAAAATCAGTTATCTCCCAGCTTTTCCCTCTGTTGAACTTCCGCACGACTGGCAGATGGATTTTATTCAGCAGATTAAAACAAAAGGTTAAATTGCAGTCTGTTTTAGTATTAGAAATGCATTGACATGCCAAAGCAGTGGTCATGACCTGATTGCCAAAAAGCTGTCAAGAGCTGTAGATTTGACTTGAGCATTAACTAACAAGACTTCCCAGCCCTACACATGAGGACAAATTTTGTCTCTCAGTGGAATCCCAATAGAAGAAAAGTGGCAATGATGATAGGGTACACTTCTCAAAAGGTATGGGCATATGTGAATAGAAATGGGAATTGTCCTGAAACAGCCTGAGATCATAATCACAGATTTAAGGGCATTAGTGATGATGGTTGTTGAGAGAGCTATGGCGTAGCTTGTTAATGCTGGGAGCAGGGAAGTTAGGATGCAGAGCTATCAGGGACGAGGCATGGTTAACCAGAATATGTGTGGGTTGCTAAACATAGAAGAAAAAGCCTGGAGTCAGAGTAGAAAGGGAAGCACATGTCAAGGGCTAGGCAGAATAGGAGAATAGGGTTAAGGTATGAATGATTCAATTGTTAAAGTGAATTGTGCCCAGAACTGAAAGTGAGATAGTCACACAGAAGACATGGGGAAGAAGATCTGATCCCTGGACCTTTGCAGCTGTGGATGGAATAGTGCAGGAGGAGAGAGTGTTGGGTGCCAATGGAGCATCCAATCCTCCATCAGGAGGAAGAGAAGGGGAGATAACCTGTGTCTGTCCGGGGCAGCAAGTGAAGTGTGGCCACTGGGGAGAGAAAAGCTGTAAACAAAGAGCTTTGGCAAGAGGCTCCTACATGAACAATTGAAAGAGAGGATTAGGGAAGTGAAAGAGGCAAAAATCGCACATACATTGCTGGGGCAGAACGTGGGCTGGGTTGCACACCTGACTGTGAAATGAGGGCGAAACGAAGCAGGAGAGAAAGAACAGATCATGAAGGAACTGCTGACTGTGAAAGAAAGAGAGGAGGGGAGAAATGACAGGGTCATAGAGGAATGGGCAAGGAGAAACATCAGTGTAGTTGCATTGGAGCTCTGAGGAAGGATGGGATCAGGAGTAACTTGAAGAGAAAGACAGTCATCACCATGACACACCATTTTGCCCAATATCTAGCAAGAGCCGAAACCAAATAGTACACATTTTTGTATCTCATTCTTTACACTCTCTTACCCATTGCCTGCAAAGGGGTTCCATGGAGGCATGGAGTCAATACAACTGGGCAAGGAAAAAGGGCAGTGTGGCAGCTTGGGCAAGCAAGACAACGTTGGATTGGAGATGCCTGCTTGAAAAAAATGAATTGATGAAGAGACACGGGAATGAAGATGATGGAAAAATGATGAAGATGTGAGCAGGCCACTACTCCTCTCCCTAAATAGATGAAGATCAGCATGGCAGGAGCAACCACTAGGACACGTGAAATAATTTGTTTTTCTTTTGGTATCGTTGGAGCTCCATGCCTAACACAATCGGGAAGTGCTGGAATATGGTTGCCTTTGATGTGGTTTCCAAGCAGGCAGAAGAAGCCATGGAGAGTAACACAGCAAGGTGTCTGGTGAGAGCACATGGGAAGTGTGAAAGTGAAACGGACAAATATTGTCTTTATTCCTTTATTCCAGAACACAAAAAGATGCTCCATACCATTCGAGGTTTATTGTTTTTTAATCATTTCAACTACCTACAAAATGTCAACCACTTCACAAACTGACAGGAGACAGAAGGAGCTTTAGTATTACATGCTTTGAGGACATTTATTCAGTTTATCCTATGTATCATTCAGTTAAGGTATTTTGTTTTTATAACTACTCAACATTTTAGCGATTTGGTGTGCATAGCTCTAGGTACATAAGCAACAAAGAATTTTACCAATAACAAACACATGGGGAAAGCAACTTACAAGATACAGTCTTCTTAAAAAATTAAAATCTTCCAGAAATATGCAACTTATAATTTGTATTTTTTGTATTGCAGTTGTCTTTTCATCTTAAAGAACATCCAAACCTTATATTACAGTACACAACCAGTCCAGTCTCTTCATTGAACTGCATATTCATTTAGAAAACAGATGATTTTTTATGTGCTACAGCTGTGTTGTTGTTTTTATATTACAATGGTGGTCACAGTTTGTAAATATATACTGACAGAAATAGTGGCAATATAGCCATCTTGCAGGAATATGGTACTCCCAGCTGTGTCCTAATACTGAGCATGCTTTTGTCAATTTGCTACTGCCATGTAACGATCTTTTTTTTTCTTTTTAGTTCATTTTATTTAGAAGATTCTAAAATCTATCATTCATCATGCATAACGCACAAATCACATCACTTTAAGTGCAATGCCTATTACAGTTACATAGTCTAGCTGCATGTTGTTTAAACGTGAACTCATAACAGCTAACGAGGGAAAATAAAAATAAGGACAGCAACCATAAGTGCTTTCAGTTTTTTTTCTTTTTATCATTACAACATCAAAAAGAGGAGCACGGCAGTAGCAAGATGGAATGACACAGTTTTACTAGGACAATACTGAAATACTGAAAAGGAAAACAGTTCGTAAAGCATTCCTACATTGTCGTCATCCAGCAAAGATATATTTAATATAATATAAAAAACGAAAACAAAAACTTCACAAGTGAGCTAGAGCCATCAAATCAGCACTATATACAACCTTTGGAAAGAAAGATAACCAGTAAAGAAATCATTACAAGGACAATCATTAAAAAGCTGACAGACCACACAGAACAACATTTACAATGGGGGCTGATATGTGCGTGTGTGCAAACCTAGTAGGTACAGTAAATACCATGATAAAAGCAAGTTGGCACTGCTCTGTGAGCAGCGCAGAGGATGAAAGATTTTTGCTTTAGCCACTGCCAAGCATCTTTGTTGCACGCTGATTGGCTTCATCAATCCTGGTTTTGTTGGAGTCAGCCTAGGCAAAGAAAACAAAATAATGACTAGCATGTAAAGAAATACTAGATTCAAAGAACGCTTTTATGATTTCCAGACAATTGCGTAGTCTAGCTCCATGTTGCTTAAACACGAACTCATAATAGCTAATAAAGGAAAATAAAAATAAGGACAGGAAGCATCAGTATTTTTCGTTCATCAGCACAACATCAAAAAGAGGAGCACGAAATAGCAAAATGGAAACACAGCAGTTTTACTAGTACAATACTCATACAATGGAAAAGCAAGAAGAAATAACAACTAGCATGTAAAGCGTACTGGTTTCAAAGAACAAAGTTTTCAGGTAAAGTTGGAGTCTGGAAACAGTATAATGTAAACAATGACAAAAATGACAAAATTAAAATATTTACATATTTAAAGAATATTTAATGCTAATAATAATTGATGCTCATTAATAACATTACCAATTAAAACAGTGAGACTATTTACAAACATTGTATGATCACTGGCAAATAGGAAATTGTAATCATAAAGATATCTGAATAGAAAGCACACTAAGAAACCAGACCATTTCCTCACTGGTGGAAATTAATGTAACTGTACAATGTTTAACAAATCAAAAATAAAGTTGAAACTACAGCACTATTAGTGCTGGATATACTGGATGTGTATCACCCTCTATAGCATGCACAGTAAATTTCATTCTGAACAAATTATTGGCCACTTTCTCATTTCAAATACTTAATGTTCAAAATGAGACATGCAGTAACAATCTTATCTTCATGAGAACAGGAATTACCATCACCCCAAGCTGGAATACTGATTTTACAAAACGAAAGGTTTTACTGTCACAAGGAAATACTCATCTTAATGCCTAACAGCCAAGGTGGTTCTGTTCTAAATGACATGAGATTCATTACACAATTATTATTTATGTCTGTCTATGACATAGCAAGAAAAATTCATAAGGTTTGTCTTCAAACCATTTTCTTCATACTAAAAATGTGCATTGGTACAGTATGATTAAGCTTTACTCTTAGTTTATTAGAGATGAGGACTGTCAGCTTTAAAGTGTAATGGAGATCCTTGCTGGCCAAAAAAGATGCATAGAAAAACTTCCTCTTTAGCCAAAATATGGTGTGAATGGTATATATATGGATTAGCTGATTATTCTTGTTAATTATGAGAGAAGAGAGTAGAATATGGTAGGAGCAGTGGGGTATATACTAGAACCAGTTAAGGAAAGGCCCTTCTAAAGAAGGTTTTGAGTCTAGATTTGAAAGAGTTTAGGAAAGGTGACTCTCTGATATCCTTAGGGATAGAGTAGCAGGGCTATGGGGCACCCATAGAGTGTAGATGGGCTTGGGCTTGGGGGACAGATAGGAGACCAGAATTGTGAGGTGAGGAGTAGGATGACAGTAGCTCAGACAGGTCCAGAGGTGCCAAGCAATACAGAGCCATAAAGGTGAGCATGAGGATTTTGAAGTCAACATGAAACCTGACCAGTACAAGGACTCCAGGATAGGAGTAATGTGATCACTTGCACTATACCTGGTCAGGATTCTGGCTGCCGAATTTGGACAATAGAACAGACAGTGCTGTAGGAACAAAGGATTCTGATATTTTTACTGTATAATGAGCAGATGCAATGCTTAATTACCTTCTCCATGATCCTGTCAATCTGGCGGTTCTGTGTATCAATCTCGTTGCCCATATCCAGAGCCATGTGGCGCAGATTCCCAATAATACCACCAACCTGTTCCAGGTTCTCATCCATCTCATTTTCCCGGGCATCATTTGTTACCCTGCAAATAAGAACAACAAAACACTAGTAATACACTACAGATGTCTACAAACCGATATGGTTTTCTTGCTTCCCTTCCTTTTGCTGGTAGATTTGTGAATCTAGGCCATGGCCAAATACATTTTTGTTTATTAAAGTTCAAATTTAAGTTACAGTATATTTAGGTTTAGAAAAAATGACCATCATCCACATAAGGACAAGCTTCTGAAATCCAAGGTTATAAAAAACAGAAGAGAAATAAAGAAAAATCTTCTTCATTTATGTGTTACATAAAATGTGATCAGATGGAAAAAGTAAACATGTTAAGTAGCAACATAATGATGGAGAGCTCCAAGATGCTTAACCACTAACTATAAACCAGAATAAACACAATTATTTCCACAAAACTGACCATCAGAGAGAAACAGAAGGAAAAGCAGACTATAACTCCGTCATTCAAACTGCTGCTAGACCAATAATAAAAAAACATGAGCTTCTCTGTCACTGTACCAAGAAGCAGATACAGGCCAATCAAATTAGTTCAGTACAAAAACACCCCAAGAAACACATTTATTCCATTTCAGTGGATCACATCATCTGCTATAAAAAAAATCCAAGACTGGACTGACTGACTGACTGAATATCATCAAGGATGATTTTCATCTTGGCTGGGTAAAGCAGAGAGCTCTGCACTCCAAGCTGTTGAAATGTTTTCTACACTGTACAGTAAAGGCAGAATAATCTGAGAAGACTGGGATTGAATCTTCACGTTGTAGAGGCAGTGCATTTAATTTCCTGAAGGATAAACTGTCGATCATTACTGCCATTAAGTATCTTTAAAAACATTTAAAGATGAAGGTATGAGTCCTGTCCCTCTGTACTCCAAAACCGTTACAAACCCTATGTGCCCTCATGACTTTGGTGAATAGGAGGGTGATGAACAAGATACACTTTGAAGTATACTTTAAACTTCTTGTTCACAGCTTTCTTGACCGCCCTCAGCAACCATCCAATAAGTGGTTCACAAATGGAAACAGGTTAATAATGTTCTGCTTGAAGCAAAGAATGGATTCATCTCAAGAATAAGAATATCCAAATCAAGAAAGCAGTAGCACAACTGGTTTAATCATCATCAAATAAATGCATATGATGAAAGAGATTGTTTGCAGCAACTCTTGCCAGGATAAGTAACTTTCAGATAATGGATAGATGGACAGGTAAAAAAAGCACTTTATACAATGATTAAAAAAAGAAAAGGATACAATTAAAGAAAAAAGTCTTGCAGGTTAAAGACAGGTAAAAAGGGATACAAGAAATACAAAAAAAAATATTATTAAATTATTAAGTTATTAAATCAAAATTGAAGTGTCTTAGAGATAAAGGGAAACCTTTAGATGATGAATGCAAAATGGGCTAATGAAAAGGAGTATGAAGAATAAGAAGCACAGGTAAAATCGGACATTAGAAATGCCAACAGAGAGTTGGGAATGGATATTGCAATGGGAGCTTAAATTAATAATAAAGAGTTTTTCAGTTCTAGGAAAATCAAAAGAACCATTAATAATGAAGGAAACTATATGTCCTGGACAATATATTTAAGTGTCTAAACAATGAAAGAGAAATAATTGTGTCTGGACAAAGAAAGAGAAAAGTTTCTCTGATGTACACATATTTCTTTCATGTCTAAATTAATATTTTTCTCGTGTTCAGCATAGATGAAATCATAATACTTCAGGCAGGAGAAAGACAAACTATTAATCAGTATTATCATAGAAGTGCTTTACATACTAGAAGCACTTAAGATTAATAATTCTACAGGTTCCAATGCTCTCTTACCACTTGTACTCTTGTACAGGAGATGTCATATACAGTATAAGCCATTTACACAACTATTCCAATTCAAGACAGGTAGTGCCAAGAGACTGGAAAATCGTACAGTAGTAATGATCTATGAAAAGGTAGTCTTACTTTTGACAAGTCTGACTTCTATTACATCTAAAATTTTGGAGACAATAATTATAGGATCACCTACATTATATATGATTGACACCAGAGGGAATGGTCAACTAATTTTAAAAAGGTAAGTCTTCATAGAGTTTTGTGAACAAGCAACAACAATAATGGATAGATACAAATTATATGATATTGATTTCTGAGGTAATGTAATTAATGGAGTACCACAAGAGTCTGTCCTAGAATGTCTGTTCTTCCTTATTTATAGGTGGTAGATGGCTTTTAGTAGATCTAAAAGTTATGTTTGTAGACAAGAGAAGGGTTTTGCACCCAGGTAGCAGAAAAAAGCTATAAACACAAAATAAAAAAATCAGTTAGAAAAATAATTAGAATGGTATACTTTGGTGAAAAAGTCTTTGGTGTTTATCTTGACACTTCATTTAGAGTATATATTTTAGCCAATATGAGAAAGCCACAACAAGATGTTAGGATATATATATATAAAAAGTGAATTCAAAATATGTAACAATTATTTAATGCATTAGAAACTACTCAGAATACTGTGTATAATTTTGATTTCCACGTTACAGGAAAGATATTGCTGGTCTGGAATCAGAGAAGTCAGATGGATTCTGGGGTTTAAGAGAAAATCCCACTCTGACAGTTTGAAGGAACTGATATTTTTTTAGTCTTGACCTGAAAAGATAAGGGGCACCTAATGCAATTCTCAAAACTCCTTGAAGGCATTGACATGTGCAACAGGTTTCAGAATAAACAGTGAAACAAAAACCAGAGGTAACAAGAGTAAATTACATATAACAATAATGGAAATGGATATAAAACAGAATCGGAGGCATTTCTTCATACAAATCATTGTGAGAGTTGAGAGTATGAAACAAGCTACCAAACCATGTTGATTAACATAGCTTCATTCAAGAAACAGCCGGATGAGATCCTAGGATCAATTAGCTATTAACTTCCAATGCTGACTGCATAGGCTGAATGACCTTCTCACCTTTGTAATCTTTATAACCATTCTTATTCTTATGCATTAAATATTTACTCTTTATTGACTTGTCGTGTCTAGAAAGGAGTTTCAGGCCATGGATCTTCTTACTCTATGAGAACGTGTATTAGACAATGTCCAAGGAATTTGTTCTATGAGTAAAACTGTCTTGAAGGGACTCACCTGCGGATGAAGCCTCCACTGATAGCCATCTGTTCACGTTCATCCACTACACGAGCTGGCTGGCTGGCTACTACCCCATCCTGATTGTTGCCCCAGGCCTTCTTGTAAGCATCACTAGACTTGAGTCTGTGCACAGAAAGAATGCGAGTCACACAAAACTACTTTCACAAAAGCTAGCAAGGCTCACTAAAGGTCTAGAAGCCAGGAACTGAATTAGGCAGATGAGATTTTTTTCCATTACAGATGCTTTGCTCTACCAATAAGTAGTGTACTCTTAAAAGCCCTGTATATGCTACAATAATGTAAACTTTTAACACGTGAAACAATTTGTCTAAATTCTCATTACAGAATTTAAAAAAGGTCAATTAAAGGACATTTTTAGTAGTGTTTCCTTCCAATTGGACTGAGACATAGAACACAGAGGACATATCTGGCAGACAAACAGATAATACAGAAAAACAGGACTGCCAAGTACGATGTGCACATCACATTACAGGTGCATTCTGCAATTGGAGAGAAAAAATTGGTTATGAGGAAAAAAGAGAGCAATATATTCTGTCTGGGGTTCCAGAACCTTTATAGTCAGGTCCACTAAAATTTCCTAGCTGTATAAAGATGACATTTTTGATCCACCTCAATTTGGGACAAAGCATTTGGAGCTCATCAATAATACTGACTCAGTACTTACGATAGGTAGGCCTATATCTAGAAATGATGTAATGTACATACCTTTGTCAGCTAAGACAAAAAATAAAATAGAAGAACTGTAGCAAGATGAGTGTGGACACAGCTAAAATTACAAGGAATCTAAGCATCAGTAAGGGATGCAAGAAAAAGGACTAAAGCATTTGTACTATCCTTAACTACTACACAGGTACAATTAAAGCAATTGGATTCCTAACTGATTTTAGTTTTCAATGGTCTGAATTCATTACTTCACACTACTAGTAAAGTCATTAGGGAGGTATTCCTCAGTCTTTTACTGTAGTCAGTCGTCCAAACTGTGATTCCATCCCATGCCTAGATGTATATACAGTATGTGTACATACTGTTGATGTGTAAGTATCCCATGTGATCCAACTACAAACTCTTAAAAAGAAGAATTTTATATTTATACAAAGTCAGCATTGATTCCTTGCATTAATGCTTAGACGGTATTCTAGAAGGTATGCAGTCAGATACATTTTTTAACTGCTGATCTTATTCAAACAATATATTACTGATTGGTGTGATTCCAATGAAGCCTGAAATTCTCAATTTCTTAATTTTCTACACGGTCTCTTTCCAGAAACCACAGGCACAAATCACTGACTACAGTTAAAAGCTTTTTAGAACGTCTCCCTCTACAAACCACGTAATAACACAGGAAAACAATGGATCTTTCTGCACTAAAATAAAAAGCGCCTAATGTTTGTTTATGCATCCAAATGAAATGTGACACCCCACTTTTGCCTGTGCCAAAAAAAAAAGAAAATCTAGGCATGCTTCCAGTGAACTGTTTGGGAAAGGTCTACATTGTGCCTGATCTTATTGTCTTTAAATACAGCACACTAACCTTATTGTAACAGTAATGGTATTTATGATTTAGTTTCCTAATGGCACAGTTTGCTGACTATTTATAAAACTGGACTGAGGGTACTATGTTCAACTCTTCCTTCAGTGCAAAGCCATGCACATTCATTTCCTACAGAAGAACAAGAATATAGATCTCTCAAATGCACCAATAATTTCAAATTCTATGTTTATTCTCTCCATAAATGTATCTTTTACTAAAAAGTAAGAACTCTGAAAACTATATTCCAGAAAAACACTTTTTTATGTTGGATGAATAGTCCACTGTCATATTACACAGTGAATTTAAAACAACACCCATTTTTTATATTACAGTAATTATTTAAAGATATAGTAGTTTACTGTAGTATAATATATTGTACTACGACTTGACTACCATGTTTTATTCATTTACATTCATTGTAGTACAACATTTTACAGAGGTAAATTTCATTTTATTGTTGTCATGATATGCATAGGAATCATGATATGGATAAGATTTTGTAACAGATTAAATTAATTGTAAATATTATATTAATTAATGTAATCTTCACGTTTTGCATAATTATGCAGGTATCTTGTTCTATTTGTTATTATTTAATTACTGTTATATCTTATTTTATACCAGGGTTATAACACGTTACATGCTTATAACTGTAAAACAAATATGAGAGATAGTACAGTTGTTGTACTGTACATAAAGTTTCTTCTACATCAACACCATTTTATTATTTAAACTGATGAAAAATAATCTATTTTAAAGGAAGTCCAATTTCTCATACTTTTCTCACATTTCAGAAGAATTAAAGTGGACCATATGAGCTCACAGCAGGGTTGTGATTCAAACCATTTGTTTCCAACACATGAACATTTAAGACAGCACATCCAGAACCTAAAATACATTCAACTGCATAGGCTTGACTACATATCTGATCTGCCTAACCTACAGTGTATTATTGTGGATTGATTAGAAAACACACTAAACTACAGGGCTTTGCTGTCTCCTGTGGCTTAGCATGTTTATCTTTAGGTATACCAATGAGGTAACTGGAACTTGAAAAACCGTTGAAAGTGTGCTACTTTACACAGAAGACTTTAATCAGCATTTGCATGCACCACATTTAAGAGATGTGCTACTTAGTCTGTAAAATTATTGGTTCTATTCTACTTAGTTTATAATGCGCAAGATACATTATATGATTTTTATTGGATTAATACATGGTCTGGAAATTAGAGAATGGTGTGCAAAACCCACGAGAAATCTTCTGGGAATGTCCTTTGTACTGTATATATGAACAGTATGTAATGTACTGTATATATAGACCTGTATATATTTATATCCAGGTACAGTTTATATTAAAATGAAAAAAAAAAACATTGGAAAGACCTAATCTCTTAGGAAAATGTGAATTTAAAGATTTGAATGATAGGTTTCATAAAGCATTACAGCAAATACTCACATAGTCAAAAACAAAAGTATTTGTCCACCCTTATTCCTTACAGAAAAACTACAGATTGCATAGGAATTCTACAGATTTCTATAGATTATATTGGTCTACATGCTTCTATATAGAAGTACTGTATGACATTTTTATAGAAATCTTTGTTATTGTTATAGAGATAAGCTGTAAGTTGAGTAACATAAAATGTAATACAGATCAAAGCCATAGATTTGTATCTATGTAATCTATGAAACATTATTAATATTTAAATAACTCAGAATTGTGAAAAATACCATGCTGCAACAAAATGTTTCATTGTTATAAGCAGAATATAGTTGTATGAATATGTTCTATATAGTAAGATTCAAAGAACAACAATTATATATAATTTTACAATTATATTTGAAAATATTTTTTTTCAACAAAGCAAATGCTACATACAGCTGTCTGAAATATTTTCATTCTGTAAAGTACAGTAAGATGTACTTTAAAGGTGTTAATGATATGTACAATATACAGGCAATATCCTAAGAGATACTGCTGAGAAAAAAAGTCAGATATAAAACGCTAAGCTAACTGATAAGGACATACAGAATAGTTTGGAAGACAAATTGGAATAAATTATAAATATAAATATATACAAAGCAATATGGACATATAATATGGCAAAGGCCATTTCTTATACCAGAACACAGAAGTATGTTCATACAGTATTGAGAAATGTGCCCAAACAATTTTGAGGAATTCTTTAAAACTTCTTTGAAATCATAATTCAAAAATCAAAATGTTTTCAAAACGGGCCCACCTTCACACAGTACAGTACAAATACTTTTGCCTTCAACTATAATTTAGTGGTTTGGTATAAATATGTGTCTTTTACTCATCCAAGTCACTACGTTTTCATCACAATAAACACCAGTCACTGATCTCTAATTATTTAAGACATGCATACAAGTCATTAGCAGTCTTATTCTCTTAGCTATTCCTTATGAGCTAGCCATGCATTATATTTCGGCAATAAACATTTTGAAGATTTGTAAGCCATTTGCTGGATAAAGAACTGAAAAAGGAAGATCAAAATTGTGTATAACCAAACAAAGTGGTTCAGTGCCATGCTCAGTGCACATTTTAAAGTCATTCTGATGGTCATGCTGCCTGAATTCTGCCTCAAAGGACTCAGCGGTATTTCAACACTTTCCAACCAAGAGAATAACATTCTACAGTACGTTTGCAAGTGCATTATATTACAATATGCATTACAAAACAAATGACCAATACTGTCTACATGCAAAAAACAATGTAATGTGATCTCAAGAAGTGAGCATGACTGGGAAGTTACAGTAAGTACTTTAAAAACAGTTGAAGGACTCAAATGCATTTTTTTAAAATCTAGCAGATATTCTGCTTCCAACATCCTCTAAGGTGAAATGTGCTGAAACACCGTTTCCTTGAGCATACTGGATTGTGACCTGTAGCGTGGATCACTGCAGCATGCCTGATTTTGAGCTGATTTTGTACATCTCATGAACCTATGGTATGGAATGAATGCATTGGAAATTGTATTAATGTTTCTGCATGCCTCATGCTCATCCTGCCTCTTTTCCTAGCACGGATGAGCAGTCCAAGGCTTAAGTTCCAAGGGCCTTGGCTACTCCAGTAATTTTTTGTCAGTTTTTCTGGTAGGCAGGCAGGCAGGCAAACAGCACCTACTTGTTACATGGACAGACACAAAGACCACAGAATTTTCCTAGATCCGTCAAATTCTTTTCTGCTTCTTTCATGTCCTTATTGATTTGGTCCATTCCCTCTTCGATGCGTTCCAGTTGTTCTGATTAAACACAAGTATTTTATCCCCACAGAATGAAGCACATGAGAAAGAAAGGACAAAGAAGAGAGACAAAAAACTTCAGACATTCACTTTGACAAAAGAAATCGGACACCACCACATAGCAGAGCCAGGCACTCAGTACCTACTTGTTACAAGGACATATGAAAAGGCCACAGCATTTCCCTAAATCTTTTAAATTTTTCTCGGCCTCCTTCATGTCTTGGTTGATATGGTTCATGCCATCTTCAACACGATCAAGTTGTTCTGGTCAGGACAAAGGGATGACAGCAGTGGAATGAATTTTATTTGGCTCATCAACAAACAAAAAAACATGAATAATGACCACTGAGCTATACCAGAGACACTACAATGCATTAAATAGGGTTGATGCATTGATATGGTATGGCATATGCAGGGCTAGTTCTACCAAATTAAGTTGAAATTCCAGGAAGCCTGTTTTAGGTGTGATTTGAAAATGATACAAAATGAAAAGGTTAAATATACAGGTGAATAACCCTTGGTTTCACCTCCAAAAGTCACAATGACAGACTTTAAAGTACATGTAGCTGTTATTTTTCTAGACGCAATCAAGCCTCATAGCTTTGTACTTCTGCGTGCTGTTTTGAAGGTCACAGCAGGAAACTCAATACTCAGATTTTAATTACACTTCTAATGCAGTCAGATGAAATGAAGGAAAAACTACCACAGCGCACAGCCTGTGAAGCTGCACACCCTGATAAAGAGCTGAAAGGGGTCATACTATTTAGAGAATGAGACATTTAGGTCCCTAATTTCTCTCTCTGCTAGGACAAAAGAAGAGATGCGTGCAAGAGATGAAGGGATGGCAATCTGCACATGAAGTTGATGTAGCTGAGTGATTTCAGGGACCTACTTGTGAAAACTAGGTGGTAATGAAGGGCCTAACAACCCAGTCTGTTGGTTGGGAGGTGATGGATTATTGATCTTGATGCATTTGTAAAATCCCTGGAGTGCAGCAATTCTTGGCTTCAATATATAACAGAATGTAAGTGGTTAATGATTTAGCAGTAAAAAAAGAAGTTCATTTTAAAAATCAATTTGGATATTTTTTTCTTCCTTATGTCCCCCTGCTTAGGTTTTCAAAAGCCATGATATGAGCCAGGTCAATAAACTATGCAGCTGATGACAGACACTGCAGAATACCAATTTTTTTCTAGGTATTTTCAAAAACTTCTTTTCAGTTGGTCTTATAGTGAGATCTTCATCTGACACTGGATTAACACAGGAAGTGTTCAAGTTTTTCAACCCTCCTTAAAATTAAATATAAAAATAAACAACATAACGTTGTTTGAAGGTAATCATTAAGGAACAGGACCTCTTGATAAGTAGACAACATGATGGAAGAAAAGGTTGAGATCTTATAGAGTTTTTCTATTAAACATCATATAAAGAATACTATAAAATGTATTTTTTAAATTAGCCCAGATTATATCGCTTTCTAAATTACTACATTAAAGTGCCACTGATATTTAGTTGTAGGATGCCCATAAAAGACATATTTCACAAAACACTTGTTCCTGTTGTTAGCAACATATGTAAATGTATTTCTTAATGGTGTCATTATAAAATGCATATTTCTATGATACATTGTGTTGAAAAACAATTAGTTTAAAAAATCCACTCTTTGTGCTCCATTGTACTTACAACTGACAACCTTCAGAAAATGATTTCTGTCACAAAGTGAATTCAGTCTTCTTCGAGAGAAAGTGAATAATGAGAAATGTGTGGAACATAGAGACTGGAAATTGAATTGCTGAGCAGTATTTTCGTAATATGAGAAAGTGTCTTTTTGAGCTGAATTTTTTCAACAGCATACACTTACTAACATTATAGAGACTACAACACCATGACTTCCTCTTTTCTCAGCATTCACATGGCAAAATGCTCAATGAAACAGCATTATGTAACATCTTAACATGATTGTATTTGTTATACAGACAAATCATTCTTTACCTCATATGGCAAGTCAACAAGGAATTGAGTGCTGCCTATGGATGACTGTTAAGTGCAGAATTGCAGTTATGTATACTCCTTCTGAAGGACGCTTTGTATTACATTTTAAACACTTGTCAGCTAAGAGTGTGAATGGGGACTTATTAAGTGAGTTATTAAATTAATGTGTGTGTGACACTAGTGGGGCAGTAAATTTTAAAACCTTGTTGTGGTTACAAACTGAAATATTTCAGAAAAGGAGAAATATGAGTTGGGATTTCAGCTTTAGCACACTATATTACATTTCTAAGAATAAAAACAAACTCTCTTAAAAATCCACTTAGCAAAAATGTTATTGCATGTTATGACAAGTACATGACTATAGTAGTTTAAACAAATTCCCTTTATTCCTGAACTTCAGGATGACTCTTTTTAAATTAGGAAGTCTTTATACATTTATTTTCTTCTGTCTGATTTCAAGAGAGTTTTATTAATACAGAGAATAGCTTTGTTATTGAAAAGGCTATTGAATGATATGCAGCAATACTGGTCAGGTCAGAGACAAAACGTCTAGTAGGCATCTATAATTCAGAATAGGTCTGGAATAGATCTGCTATGAGAGGGAAACTGATGTTCTTTTAAAATCATGCCTTAACCCAGAATTAATTCAATTTCCTTTGGAATAAACAGTACATTATATATGTGTATATTGGAATACATCCTTGTAACTCTTAACTAGCAAATATTTTGCTGCCTTTAAAACATTTTAATTGCAATGTCATGATATTAATTTAACCAGGGATTATACAATGAAAAAGTATATTTCATGGGAAAGAAAGTTGTCAATTTTGTCATTACCAGCAAAACTGATCATTTTGATCATTATGAAATAACATAATTCCAGTGTCTAAATATTTTATTGTTGGCCATGGAGTGCCTTGCTATAAAAGATAACCCTTTTCAACAATAACTTCTATTTGACTGTTTGAAAAAAATGAGTTTATATACTGAACATCACCACTGAATATAACTTATTATTCAAATTGTAAACAACCTCTTCTGACAATGAAAATTATAAATAAGAAAAGATCCAAAATCGTATAATCATATATAATTGATATAATCATAAGCAATAGCACTAGAGTACACCAGTGAATTAAATAATGATTTTAGATGTAATCACTTAACATGTTAGGGAGGAACATAATGGACCACCATCATTATTAATTAATATTAATATGAAACACTTTCACCTGTCCTAGGTTTTAGTAAGTTTTTCATCCTAGAAAAATAAAATAAACTCAAAATACAGTTACTGTGTATTGGACTGAGATGTCAGCGCAACTCATAATTTATACATCGGGGTCTGTTCAGTGATCAACCCTGAAAGCAATGTTTCTGTTTAAAAATGGTTACTCTCTCTGGGATCAGAGTGCATTTGCTTTTGAATATCTGTTTAAAATGCAGAAGAGGCAAAGAAATTAGGTAGTGAACATTATTATGACACCAGAAGATTCCGCAAAGCCTGCCATCTGAAGACAATGATGTAAACAAAAATGTCAGATTTAAAACAAATATAAAAGAGGGCACTATGATATTTTGATATGATGTTGTGTATGTTTATAAATGGAGAACACGAGACCAAAGTGCCTTACAGAGATAAAGCTTTAAAACACACAGCAGTTCTTTCTATATTATGATATTATGTCATTCTTTTCATTCAACAACATTCAACCGTTATTTGATTTGGTTTCAGCAATGCAAATAGATAGTAATATTAGGTTGTCAAAAAGCCGATATCTTTCATGTTTCCCGCTCCATGGACTCTCACTTACCTCCTTGCTCATCCAACATAACCAAAGTCCTGATACCAGCATCTTTACTCTAGTCCCCCAAGAATGGTAGCAAGGCAAAAGGTGACAGAGAGAGGAGAGGCAGCAGGAAAAAGAAAAAAAAGAGGTAGACTATCAGGATGGAAGCATATAGTTGTACGTTCCGGAAAGATAGAAAAGAAAAATAATTTTATTGACAAAGACACCCGCATTAAGCATCAACAATTTTTAAGTTTAAAAAAATTCAGTTACTGTCCAAAACACAGAGAGCTAGATGTGGTACAATATTGATGCTGTCTATACACTTGATATTTTATATTTGTTCATTCTATATCTTTTTGAATAATAATATACATGTACTGTATGCATTTATAGAAAATTAAAATTGTTTCCATGTTTTCAATATGGCCCATTAATGGCATAATGACTTGCAAACTAGCGGATAGAAAGGTATAGAAGAGTAAGGCGTAGTACCAAGAAACAGAAACAAGGATAGTTAAAGTGAATCTAGGGTATGACACACTAACGACTAAAACTATATGTACACTTTTATAACAATGAAACTGTAATTACTAAAATCCAGTAATTCAAGATATTTTAATTAATTCTGACCTTTTACATGAAAAAACAAGATTGTTATTTACTTCCAATCGATGGATTACGCAGATCTATGATAATACTATCATAATACACTTGTATTGTATTGGTAATGATGGGTAGGAAACCCCACATTAGGATATGAATATTTTAGACATTAGAATTTGAATATTAGAATATGAAATGCTATGTGCACACTGGAAGTGCAGATGTAATGTGCTACATGAAAACCAAGGTTTCTATCTCAATATGAGTTGGAGTTCTGATTGATCCGTAGATGACTGATCAGCTCCTGCAGCACATAACTTGCACTCTTGCACTGCATAAACTTCCATTAATTCTCATTATTAATTAATCATGTCAATATAAGTCTATTTCAACTTGAAATCTGAAACTTCAACTACTGCATATGAGAACTTTCATGTTTCATGCCTATATATAGCTTTTTATACAGTTACAACATTCAATACAGCTACAGAGATGTAAAATGCTAAACAAAAATACTACAAACCAGGAGACAGTGCAGGAAGAAAAACAAGAACTAGAAGTACAAGCAGTGTCCAAGGATTCCAAAACCTTCCTTTGTCAAAGGAGAATGATTAAGGACAAGAACACTGTGTTGTTACAGAAATAAACTGCAGTATTAAACTGGTATATATCTGCAACAGTACAGTACTTTAAAGTACCTTAACTACACTTATAAATGCTTTTAATACTTCCAAATCAATCAATATAATGCAGCACCTTAAATATTTTGCTATAAGTGCTTGAATAGATATATCTGTTTTAAAAATGTCACCAGAGGAATACATGTCTCCTTCTAATACCTACAAGAGGGCAGCAAAGATTTATGGAAATCTTTGTGCTTATAATAATCAAAATGAAATTAACAGTATGAGTGGTATGTGAAAATATACAAACACAATACATCCATTGCACTTTCCCCCATAATTATACATATTGTATGAAGTTAACTTGCTAAACATTATTTTTCAGCTTCAACAGACTGAAATCTATGCAATATTATCTTCAATTTCAGTGTAACTATTTGTTAGGAACAGGTTTTTAATATGCAAATCCTTATGTACTGTACATGGATGATACCTGTTTGACAAAGACATGAAATTTCAAATCATGAAGGAAATCACATAGCCAACTTGGCTTATGCATGTATTCTATTTTGTAATAATTTAATTGTATTTTCCCAAGAAAAATATTTAAATTGAAACTTTAAGACAAGTGGCTGATGTAATAAATGAATATTACACTTTGGTGTTGACCATGGAAGCACTTAATAAACACTACTTGTGGACTTGTGTTTGTAAATAAAGGAACAAAGTATGATATACTTAATCCATGAACCAAATTCTTTAAACAGGTGCTTAAAATAAGTTAAAACAGATAGTATCCATCAACTAGCAAATTTCTTATGTAGCACCATCCATAAAAAGGTGTAATTACAGACCAATAAGTCTTATTTCTATTGTATAATGGAAATGAAAATTATAACTAAACTAGAAGATAATTTATGAGGACAGTCAACATAGTTTTAGAAAATGTAGGTCTCATTTAGCTTGTTCTCTGATCATGGAACAATAGTAATAAGGTTTGAGTATGGAACATAATCAGTGGGTGAGCTGAAAAGGAACAATCAGAGGTTAATATCACTCTGAACATGGATGCTTCATCAATGTTTCATCGAAGGAGCCTTCTCCAGGAGAAAATTTTTAATTACATTTATTTTTATTAAATTTGTTATTATTTTTACACAGGAGCAGTTTGTGTGATGGGTCATGTGTCTCATATTGGATTGTGATCTATTGCAGCTGTAAAAGTTAGCATAGTAACTTTTCAGGTGGTAGAAATGTCCAGATTTTGCTATTGCTAAGTTTCATTTCTATTGGTGCAACAGTTCATAGGATTTAGAAAGGGTTTTTAAATACATGGGTAAGGCTGCCACGTTAATGCAGGATCCTAATTTTTGTGATAAACTCAAAATTAATCTGTCCTAAAACACCTGCCTAGTATGACATTAGTATCCTACAGTATGTCCTCACCTGAACACTAGCACTTTCAAGAATAAGCGGGAAAAACACTTAAAAGGTTTCCAACATCTAAGTTATTGGATGTATCTAAAGGTTCAAATGCCACTTGGAAACCTAATTGTAAAGATCCTCACAATGAGTCACTAAGATTTGCTTAGTGAATGATTTATTGTGATTAGTTATTACATTTATTACAGCTTCATACTGTTCAGTATTAGAGCAGGGGCCATGGAGGTCACAGCTTGTCAGATCAAAGCTGTATCAGCAAGGTTTATCCTCTGTTTAACCACTAAACAAAATAAGATTTAATCAGGGATTTGCATAGGAGACCTGCGTGGTGTGTTAATATTTGTTCCTGAGATGTAGGAAAACAATTAAGCAGTGCGGTTTCTACTGTAATATCTTAACATTTTTAAATGAGCAACTTTAAGAGCTAGGCCAACTGACGTTGTAAAAGACATCTTTTCAGCTTTGATCAGATATTCATCAAAGACATGCTTTTGTTTTGGCTTCAGCAACAAAGTGATTTCTGTTTTGATTCACTGAATATTTGCAGGATTTTCAAGCAGCCATGCTATTCAGAAAATTTATTTTGAAAGAGGTTAAAACAGTTTAGTTTTCTATTGTGTTAAAACTGTAGTTAGTGTTATTATGATCTAATGCCTGTCTTAAAAAGAGGCATATTCTAAATTCAGTCTCTAAGCCAGCAGCCATGTCACCCTGCAACTTACAATAACATCAGAAAACATAATAGAAAAAGATAGAGATTAGATAATGCATCTTGCTTAAAACAATTTTGAACATTTTATGTTGTCATCACAATACCATTACATAAAGCTATGTTTGTCAAACATAGCTGAATTTTAGAAGTCATATTTATTCACATAAAGATCACCAAAACCAAATTGACACTAATTCTCCGCTCTTTGGAAGTGTAACAGGAATCTTAGCAAACTACTGTATATAGGGGCCTCTGAAGCATTCCCGTTTCCTTAGGATACAAAATGAGGTGAAACACAAGAGAAATTCAGTAGCAGCATCTCCTTTGTAAAGCTTACCAAAGATTGTAGGCAATCTGTCATTGTCCTCTACAACTACACAGTCTACTGTATAAAAGATGCCAGGAAGGGGATGGATGTGTATCTTACCACCTTCGGCTGTTAAATAAGTGCTTTCAGAGGAAACAATGAATCTAACCGCAAAGTTGATCGCAAACCTAAACACTACCCAGCGTCTTCAGGATAAAAATATTGCTAACTACCATGCAGCCACAGAAGTGGCTTCTGTTTTGAAACACAGCCATTTGAATACAAACCACAAATAGAACTACATCAGAACACCAATTAGAATGAAGTGAAGTGATAAATTGAAAATTAAGCCTTTTGAACAGTGTCATTTTTGGTTTTGAAAAAGGTATAACTCATTTAAAAAAAAAAAAAAAACTAATGCCCATTGTGAATGTTGAGGTAAACTGAATTTGGGGTTGTTTCGCAACTACACATCCTGGAGCAGGACTTATAGGTGATCCTCTAGTGTAGTTCTAACAGTTGTTTTCATAACATCACATAATATTAATATAATTAATATATTAAAATAATAATATTAATCATACTTCTTGGTCTACAATTTCTTGGGTCCATTTTGTCACTTTCTTGTGAATGGGCCCTACACTGGCAATTTTCCTTTCTCTGTTTTCAGCAACTGCTGGAAGAGATCTGTCAAGGGCTTCTGAATGACATCTATCTTTTCCCTGAGTAAATTTGATAAGATATCATTGGGCCCTAGGAATTTATCAATTTTAAGTGCTTCAATGACCCAAACCATTTGGTCTTTTCTATCCTTTTGAATAAAAAACTTTGTCCTCCTGCTGTCTGATGTTCTCCCTTAATGAATTTATATGATAAAATTATTCTGTTTTAACACAATAATTTGTTAACAATTTGCCTACTATATGAATACTGTATATTGCATTGTGCTATATATGCAATAATATTATCTCGTGCAAAGTAGCATAGACTTTAACAACAGTAGAACATCACACTCCTCTTTTTGGAAAACAAAATAATCTAAAGGAGCATGTGTTCTGTCTTTTGTATACACGAATTACAACACCATGTCAGTAGGCATTCTCAGGTTTAACGCATACTATTTTCGCCATTTCTGTGACAGGTGGAAATGACACGGCTTACGTCTGCATTCTATAAACCAAGAGTTTGCTCTGTTTTCCATACAGAATTTTTTTATTGACACTCTATCAGACAAGCTACAGAGCTTTTTGAACTCCTAGGATCTGCTGGCTGTTCAGTAGTATGAAGTAATATTCCAGGAGGTCATTTTAATGTAACCAAAATCCTTCATTTCATTTTATCTTGGTATATTTTTAGAACAAGTTAAAATGAAATTTCTACAGCTATTCTTTTTAATCTAACAGGCAGGAATTCTCAGAATTCTCCTACTGACACCAAATTAAGCCACAATCCACCTTACTTCACTGATCTTAGAGGCTGTAGCCACACATTCGATAATGTCCAGGACCTTCCATGGATATTTTCTACTTGGCAGAGAGGAATAGTAGAGAACATGTTCAGGGAGAGAAATGCCAGGGATATAAAAGACACTAATCCCTCATGCAGACTCAGCTCTCAGAAATGTACTCCATTTTCAACTCATCACCCTATTTCAATTCCTGTTTTGTGTTCTTTCATTTGTACATTTCATTAAGCATTAATTATTTGCCATTTAAACAAAACTTTAAACACAAAAGCGCAAATCCTTTGTCTATTTAAAATTAACAGACATATTTTGCCTGGTAATATAAGCAACATTTTTGTTCTTCCAAAATCTTAGGAGCATAGTAAGAACTTCCATGTAATATGTTTGTAAGCTTCTTCTTCCTCCTTATGACTGTATTTTATACATTAATGATTTGTATTTATGTGTATATTTCAGAACTGAATACTTTACTCAGCTTTAACATTTTAGACAGACATGACCTTTACAAGACTTGCTTTTTTACAGGAAAATGCATGATAAACAGTTCCATATTCAAAATTTAAAACAAAAAAAAAGAATAGATAGATCTGTTATTGGAAGCCTACATAGTCCTGGTTATATGTGGTTTAGCCATACAAAAGAGCTATACAGAAGACCTCTTACCTCTTCAACTAACTGCAGCATACGACGGGTGCTCTCCAGTGACTGTAAAGAAAGAAAAATGTAAAAATATGATTACATCAAAATGAAGGGTTCCACAGCTGACAAATACAATTATAATCACAAAACTTTTTCCTTTAAAATAGTGTCACTTGAATGTTTTCTCATTAATATTTCTACAGTGTCTATTCATGTTAACTACATGAAAAACAGAGAAAGTCATCTGAGGAGTCCATGAAGACATTGTGACATAAAGTGCATTTCCATTTTCCATAGAGATGTGTGATTTACATATGTAGTAGCATTAAAAATATAGTCTAATTACATATTTTCATTGTTTAACTTTGTTGTCTGGAGAATCTCATTTTACCTGGCCCATTCTAGATTTGCCAAAGGTTTCTCGGCAAATCACAAATTTGCCACTCTTTCATCAGTAACCCCCATCAAATCAGGTGAATGCAGATTTGGCCAGAAACTGAAAAAGATGACTGCACCCATTTATTTCAAGAGTTTTCACTGAATTCTAGATTTTGTCAGAATAACATTTCGGTCAACATCAAGGTCAAGGAAAAATTTACATCTGTCCAATTGAATGAGTACGATTACTGAAAATAAGTGCTTACTTTAGGATTCACTTTAAGCCCTTGATGAAATAAAGTTAAGTAGCCCTTAACATATAAACTATGTATACAAACAGTGTGATGTATGTCTGAAAACAATTCACCTGTAATTCATTATGTGTTGTTTTTAGGACATTAATCCCACCATTGTGCCATTGTGGTAGTGAACACCACCCGTATACTGGTTAATCATCGTCACGTATGTCGGAAGGGACGAATTGTGGAATGGTAGGGGAATGGAAAAAGACCCTATGCGAAGAGGAACGGGGAGAATGCCCGGGCTCAGCAGTATAAGAGTTCAGGAATTGCCGTATAGAAACATATGCCTTGACCTGGTGCTAGGCGGGTCTCAGGACATCCGAACGTCAATGCTGAGCGAAGGGGAATGAGTGACCCAGAGATATATAGCCCCAGACAGAGAGACACCGGAATGACAGCAAAGCACAGGAAACTAAGGACAGGACAGAGTAGGAGCGCCCTCTGGCTTCAGAGGGCGTAACAGGTCAGCTCCTGACGCCCATAGAAATAAATGAGCTAAGTAGGAAAAACCTCTGAAAGGAAACCTCTGGGAGTCCACAGCTGAGAGCTGCCCCCTCCTCCAGGGTAGAAACCTTTATTGGGTAGAGGAAGGGGAGGTCAAGTAGAGCTCCGGAGGCTTAAAACAAAAAACAGACATACACAAGCACAAACCACAAAAATAAACTTGGGAGACCAGCGTGACAAACTTACAAAAAACAGATAGGAACCAAAAATTCCACGACCCAGAGGTTAGGGGGACCAGAGAAAGGGGAAACCAGGAAGTGAAAAATCAAAACACCGAGCAAAAACAAAAACACAAAAACCCGGGAAAAATACTGCAGACTAGGCAAAACACGTTCAACATTCTATCACTGATATTGGAATAGACAACCCGAGGAAAGCCAGGCACAAAGCCCGCTCACAGGCAAGGATGTCCAGAGTGATATCCAGCAATAAGAATAGGAAAGCAGGAAAAAAGCTCAACATCCTATCACTGATATCAGAGTGATCAACTCAAGGAAAGCCAGGCGCAGGGCCTGCTCACAGGCACAGATGTCAGGAGTGATATCCAGCAATGAGAATAGAGGAATGGAAAAAGGCTAAACATTGTATCACTGATATCGGAATGAACAACCCGAGGAGACCCAAGCACAAAGGCCGCTCACAGGCACAGATGTCTGGAGTGATATTTAACAATATGAATAGGAAAGCAGGAAAAAAGCTCAACATCCTATCACTGATATCAGAGTGATCAACCCCAGGAAAGCCAGGCACAGGGCCCGCTCACAGGCACGGGTGAACGGAGTGATATCCAGCAATAAGGATAGGAGAGCCAGCTAATCAATCAATCACAGATGCCGGGAGAGACAACCCAAGGAAAGCCAGGTATTCACAAGCGGATGTCGGGACGGCATACAACTGAATGACCCGCTCACAGGCACGGAAGTCAGGAGTAGCATCCCCCGATTAGAATAGAAGAAATGAAAAAAAAGCCCAACGATAAAAGAAAAAGCTGCGGAAAGACAAAAAACGCCGCTCATGGGGTAGGAGATGGCTCAGCATTCTGTCACGGATGTCGGAAGGCACGAACCATGGAATGGCAGGAGAGCGGAAAAGACCCTATGCGAAGCCGCAGAACGGGGAGAATGCCCGAGCTCAGCAGTGCAAGAGTTCAGAAATTGCTGTATAGAAACCTACAGTGCCTTGCGAAAGTATTCGGCCCCCTTGAACTTTTCAACCTTTTGCCACATTTCAGGCTTCAAACATAAAGATATA